CATACTACAAATATTTGGTGTATTGAAATTTCACCTGATAAATTTTCGGTTTCTTCTTCAAGAGCTATTAAAAGTTTACTATCATTATCAATAAATTCTATAGTCACAATTTTATAAATTCTTCCTCTGCGACCTTCTAATTGTTTGGTGGTAATTTCTAAACCATTTTCTATTAAGAATAACGTAATGCTGGTGGTTCCCCGACAAAATGCTAAAATTTCTTCATTCTGAGAGATGGCAAAGATTGGAGAACTACGAATTACGTTGGGAGCTGCTGAAGATTCATGACGTTCAAATAACATCTCTAGATCACCAGTAATTAAACTATACATTTCAATGATATTGTGCCGATTTCTAAATGAATGTACCATAAAATAACTTTTAATGATACTCGTATGTAAGAGGTCTAATGCATTTGATACATTTGCATTTTTTTTCTCACGTAAAAGGCTAATTAAAAGTTGTTGAGGTAATTGGAATTTTTCAATCTTGTCAAATGATGCATTTAAAAATGTTTGTTTAAATATAATTTTATCATTATTTAAGGTTCGTTTGTAGATTCCTGATGTATTAACTACTATGATTACTGTTTTATCTTTTAATAGTTGTATTTTAACATCACTATCTAGAAATCTTATTACACCACCAATAATTCCTAAAGAAGTATGAATTTCTTGTTTACGTGTAGTAGAAATAATTCACGTGTGAGATTGACTTTGAGGTTTATTTTCCCAATTTTCTTCGTCATTACCATACATTTGATTAGGTTTTTCGTAAAGCATTTCACGTTCATCAAAACAAGATAAAGCAACAAGACGTTCTTTATCACTGTTTATACGATTAGATATTGCTAAAGAATAACAACATCGTTTATAATAAACTATATCTTTACATGAAAATGTATCAATAGATTTACTAACATCCTTAATATTGTATAACGTAAATTCGAACTTCTCTTCTATTTATTATTTAAAAATTTACTAAAGATAAGAAATAATCGAAATAATAATTTATTAATTAATAATTAATTTTACCTTTATTTAAAGTAACAGTAACAATTTGTTTACCATCCGAACTTATCGCTATTTGGGACTTATTGAAGAAGTATCCTTGACTTTTGTTTTTGTTTTTTGTTTTTCTAACATGCTTTGGGTAATGTTTTTAACGGAAATATGAAATCCACTTTCTTCCTCTTATAAAATAATGACAGGTATTTATAACAAACTCCGGAAATCATTATGCATCATGATTGATAATTTCCAAAGATCCAGTTACAAGAAGATTTTTGATTTTGGATACCAAATTTATCATTGTATAAAAAGATATTATTCAAAAATGGTAATATGTAAAAGGTTAACTTTCATTTGATTTAAAGGATCAGGTAAAAGATTATTGTTTTGCTTGTAACAAGAAAGTTAGGGATTAGAGCCGGATCTATATAATCCGGGATCATTTTTTATTTAGATCCGGTTTATTGATCCGATTTTTATAATCTGGTTTAAAACTTCAACACTTTTTTTACTTCTTTAACGAGTTCAGGATTATTTTTAATTATTAATATTCTTATCATGCTAATGGTATTGATTTTGAAGTAAGTTGTTTTATATAATTATTTAATAATAATATATAAGAT